ATATAATAATAAAAATAATAATAAAATAAAAATGATAAAATAAAAAATGATTATGATTATGATTGTACGTAGAGGGACAGCTGACATACATTTCGCGGAGCGAAATTTGCTGTAGATTCGGACATTTTATCCTATCTAAATCCTGATTCGCGAAACGACTCTCTTTGCTCCATCGACCAACGTCAATATTTCGGCAGTCGAGTGCCTTTTACGTCCGCTATTGGAATTTGGATGTGGCCGGCTACCAAGCCGGCTCGAAACGAGCACCGCGAAACTTTCGTTTCCGCTCAATCGTCAATTCCGCCGACAAACGAGAAGTGATACGAGCACCGTAGCAGAGTCGCAATTTTGGCGGAAAAGAGCCGTACTATACACGTATATACACTATATATCTATGGCTATTGCGAGCTTGCAAGATTTTCACCATCGTGAATGTATTTTTGTGTAGCCTTTAGAGTTAAAATTAATCGAGTCCGTAACTTGCGAGGTTTGCTTTAAATACGATATCCTGTTTGAAATGCAACTTACAAATTCTACGCCCTCTCGTTGCTCTCTTTTCTTATCCATTATTTAACAACTAAAAAATTCTTTCCAACAAAAAAAAAACTAAAAGAAGCGTAGAGAAATTGTAAAAAAGAAAAGATGAAAGAAAAAGGAGACTACTGCGCGAAACAGAAACAGAAAATGGCTCAAAGAAGAAGTTCAAAGGAGAAAGTGATAGTAGAAACGAGAAAGGGAAAGAAAAAGGGAGAAAGAGAGAGAGAGAGAGAGAGATCGGAGGAACGAGATGCGCACGCGAAAGGAAGGATGAGAAAGACGAGAGGAGTGCGACCAGAATTGGATAGGATAGGCGAACTGGTGATTACAGAGGCCGGAGATTCCCCGGGGACGAGCACCGGGTCTCCCGCGGGCTTCCACCTAATTCCATCCTGGCTGACTACTGACTCTCTCTCTCTCTCTCTCTCTCTACCTTTCTCTCTATCTATCCCGTACACTTATTGCCTCTCTTTTCGCCTCTAACCGTTCACCTCTGTTGACGTCCTTCTCTCTTTTTCTCGCCCTTTGCTTCGCGGTAAAGCACTCCGTCCTCCTTTTTCCCTCCGCGTTTGATCAGCCCTCAACCCTCTCCCTCTTTCATTCTAGCACGCGTTTCTCCCTCCCTCTCTTGTCCGTTTGCCTTTCTATTTATCTCGTTCGCTGCATTTCTCTCTCAGCTCCTCTGCTTATTCCGCATTTACGATTCGCCTCTTTCTCCAGCTCACCGCTTTTCGTCTCATCTTTTTCTCTCATTCTCTCCCCCTCCCTGTTTTCTATCTTTCATTCTTTACGGCAACTATATTTCGGTTATCCGGTGTTGTACGTATGCTTTCGACTTGCTGCAACAATCCCTCGAACCGGCGGTTTCCATCGTTCTGTCTCCGTTCTTCGCAATTCATTTGCGCGGATAGATTGATGTACAAACATCGCGTTACTCGATAATTGATACCATTAAATGAAAAACTGACAAAATAGAACTTTTCGCAAAATTGAGCAATTATTATTATATATATTGCGTATTTTCCTGTTTAAAAAACTTGTTGCATGATTTAGAAAATTAATAGAACTATTTACCAAATAATTTACAATTAGTACAATTCCATAGCAATATATCCGTATACTTTATATTACTATGCCATGTTATCTTAAAAACTCGATAGACTGAGAACGAATAAGATAACAGAATTATCGAAAAAGTATACCGCTGGATATCGCGATATATTTACATTAACATAAATAGAAATAGAAAAGAGTAATAGATATAAAAATATTAGCTAAATTATATTCATTCGTATTCGATAAATTTACTAATCCTGTTTTCTCAAAAGTCATATATGAAAAAACTTATTCCATATTTTTGACTTTTATTCTTTTTCATTTATTATGAATTACACGTCCATATATATTTAGAGCCAAAGTTTTTTTTAATTAGCTAGATAATGACGTATGTAATCGCAAAATTATTAAAACGTTTTAAATTTTCAAATTATTTGAATTAATTATTTTAATAATTACAGTTTCTATAACAATAGCGACTTTTTACACGCCTATCTTACGTCACTTTTATGTCGCGACACGCGCTGCACGTTTCTGAAAGTTTCACGAAGTACCCTTTTAGTCCGACTTCTTCCTCGCCCCTCCATACCGACGTCTTCACACGAACGAACACCTTGCAAAGAACTTCGCTATTATTCGTGTGTCTTTGCGACACATATGAGAGCTCATAAACCTTAATCTCGTAAAACCGTCGTCCAGAGACGGCAGATCTTCGTGTCTGCCTCTTTCGTTTTGATTTTTTTCTCCTCGCGTTTATCGCGCGCGAAACTTCCTTTGTTTATGTTTCACAATAATACAGAAGATTCTTAGCATTATCTCATGACTTTGTATAAACGATACGTTTCAATATATAATTCTATAATTCGTGCTATTTTATAGTTAAAAGAGAGAGAGAGAGAGAGAGAAAAAGAAAACACAATTCGTTTATACACACATATACACATACGTCAAAATTTAGAGGTTAAATCGTAAGATCTGTTTTAATTTTTGTTCATTCCAAAAAAGCATTAAATATTTCTTTTTGCAAACAATCAAATATACTTATTTTCTAAAGAGATGATATTTAATGTCAGAAATTTAAAAGTTGTGTATCAAACTCTCGTTAAAAAAATCTTTCATTAAACAATCAATCATAAATTGATTAATTGTGAAAAAATTGTCATTATACTACAAATTACGTCAATTGTCGATGTTGTGTTAGCGCCAAATAATATATATATA